GCAGCAGCAGCAGCAGCAGGGGGCGGTGTGCTGCAGTGCGTCGTCCGCAGCAGGTTTTGTATTGCCTGGGCCCAGCGCAGTTTGCTGCTGCTGCTGCTGCTGCTGCTGCTGCTGTTGTCTTCTGAGGCATCCAGCAGCAGCACGGGTTCGCTGCTGCTGCCAGCAGGAGATATATTCCACCGTGTTGCAGCAGCAGCAGCAGCAGCAGCAACAGCAGCAGAAGCAGCAGCAGCAGCAGCAGAGGTAGACATAGAAGCAGAGCCGCATGAACACGGCCCTGCTGCTTGCTGCCGCTGTGCTGCTGCACTTGGTGCTGTATCTGCTGCTGCTGCTGCTGCTGCTGCTTCTGCTGCAGCAGCTGCTGCTGCTGCTACTGCTGCTGTGTCTGTTGCTTCTCTTGATGCTGCTGCTGCTGATCCTCTGCAGCAGCAAGGAGGTGTCGATACACCCCGTTTTGCTGCGAAGGGACAACGACCTGTTGCTGCTGCTGCTGCTGCTGCTGCTGCAGGGAATCCACTACCAGCAGCAGCAGCAGCAGGAGCTGCTGCTGCTGCTGCTGCTGCTGCTGCATGATCTTCTGGTGCATGTCTGAGCCACATGGGATACTGCTGCTGCTGCTGCAGCAACAGCTGCTGCTGTTGCAGCAACTGCTGCTGCTGCAGCTGCTGCTGCTGCTGCTGCTGCTGCTGCAGCTGCTGCTGCTGCTGCTGCTGCTGAAACACTGCTTTTAATCTCATCTCCAGCAGCTCGTCTATCATGGCTTGCTGCTGCTGCTTCTGCTGCTGCTGCTGCTGCTGCTGCTGCATTAGTGCAGTGTCTCTGCTGCTGGGGTTGCAGGTTTGCTGCTGCAGCAGCAGCCTGCTGCAGCTATTTCTTCCTGCTGCTGCTGATGTTATGCTGCTGTCGCTCGAGCATGTGCTGTCTCCGCTGCTGCAGCTGCAGCAACCATTGCAGCAGCAGCAGTAGCTGCTGCAGTTGCTGCTGGCATCGCTAGCAGCAAGGCATTCACCTGGGGCGTGGTGTTGCTGCTGCTGCTGCTGCTGCTGTTGCTGCTGCTGCTGCTGCTGCTGCTGCTGCTGCAGTTGTTGTAAGAGCAGCCTGGTGCCCCTGCCTTCAGAATAGCTGCGGTTGTGCTGCTGCCGCTGCAGCAGCAACCGCTGCTGCTGCTGCTGCTGCTGCTGCTGCTGCTTCTGGCGGCCCCTTGAGGTGTCTGCTGCTGCTGCAGTTGTGCCTGTGGTATCTGCCTGTCTCCATCCACCTGTTGCTGCTGCTGTTGCTGCTGCAGTTGCTGCTGCTCGTTGCTGCAGCAGCTGCAGCAAACCTTGCTGCTGCTGCTGCGATAGACGCAGCTGCCCTTTTGCTGCTGCATCTGCTGCTCCACAGAGAAGAATACGCTGCCTGGGGGTGCACGGCAGAGCCAAGACAAGCAGCTGCTGCTGCTGCTCCTGCTGCTGCTGCTGCTGCTGCTGCTGTTGCTGCTGCTGCTGTAGCTGCTGCTGCTGTTGCTTCAAGCTTTGCTGCTGCTGCTGCTGCTGTCGGGATATCGGGCTGCTAGACGCAGCAGCGCGAGGGCTGCCACCCCACAAAGCTCGTTGCTGCTGCTGCTGCTGCTGCTGCTGCTGCTGCTGCTGCTGTCTTCCACGCAAGAGGGAGGCTGCACCGGCAGCAGTCTTGCTGCAGCTGCTGTTGCTGCTGCTGCAGCTGCTGCAGCAGCAACCTGTATCTCCTTCTGGGTGGCAGGCAGCACACCGTCGGCTTGTGGGGGGGCCATGGGAGGCGCATGCAGACAACGGCCTTGCTGCTGCTGCTGCTGCTGCTGCTGCTGTTGCTGCTGTTGCTGCTGCTGCTGCTGCTTGCTGCTGCTGCATGCGCCTCCTGTCAGGGCTGTGGAGAGGCGATGTCGGTGCTGCTGCAGCAGTTTTAATCCGCAGCAAATTCAGTGGGTCCTGGTGTCTGTGCTGCTGCTGCTGCTGCTGCTGCTGCTGCTGCTGCTGCTGGTTAGTGTGATATCTGTGTCTTGCTGCAGGAGATGAGTTTGCTGCGCTTGGATCGGATACACGGCGGTGTATTCTGCGGTTTTGCTGCTGCTGCTGCTGCTGCTGCTGCTGCTGCTGCTGCTGCTGCTGCTGGTGGTGGTTGTGGTGGTGGT